GTGACAGTTTCAGGAATGATTGCAATATTTAGGGAAAATGTTTCCAGACACCTATATACTGCATACGAGTTCCTTTTGTGAATGGAGCCCAGTATGTTTTAAACTTGATCTCCTTTTTTTCTGTTACAGATAGACCATTGGCTCCTTCACTTTCTTTAATTCCCAAACATCCAGTTTACACCAGAGAAGAATCTATCAAACTCACTTGCTCTACACCCCTTGGCTCCACAGCTAATGGTATTGACTTTTACAAAGATAAGCAAAAAATTGCATCGCAGCAACACGGCACAATGAATATATCTACAGCTGACATTACTGATTCTGCTGCATACTCATGTCAGTACACTGAAAACAATCTTGGAAGAAATATTCTTTCCATTCCTAGTGATGAAGTCCCAATCAAAACAGTAGGTAAGAAACCCTATGTAATAGCGTATTAAAGAACTATAACTTAGGGCTTAGTGCTAAGGTTCAGTTTATGGAGAAAGTATAAAAGTTTTTAAATGAATCCTACACAACCCTCCCTCCAGCCATCTGTAACTCATTGCCAGCATTAAGAAATAATAAAATACTTCAAGGCTTATGTTACTCACATAACTCCATGTTCACGTGACTTTCTGGTCATAAGTCTTCTCATATCTTCTATGTACAGGAGACAGGGTCCATCGGGTGTCCATGTCACTGACTGTGTGCCATGGACACCTGCTTTTGACTGTTCAGTGGCAGGATAGTCTCAGGATCCTGAAGCGCAATCTCAGGGGTGATGTGAGCAACAAGAGACTATTGAGGAACGGTCAGTGTGGACTACATTGCTGGATTACCGGTTCCCACATTCAGAAATAGCACTGCCAAGGGACTGAGAGGGCTGATTTAGATGAGTAAAATGTTGCCTTACAAGGTTGATAAACAGAAAAAAAAATAAATAGGTGAGAGGAAGGGTGGAAGAGGGGTTTAACTTTTGCCTGGAGATTGGATTAAATTGTTGCCTCTCTGCAATAAAGTTAAATGAAAAAAAGTGTTTAAAAAGATTAAACTGTAATAAAATTATTTAAAATTTCTTGAAAAATTGTAAAATCACCCGTGAATGCAAAGGACCACGTATGGTGCTCATGTGTATGTATAGTAAGGTAATTTTGCCATATACAGGTGAAACTCGAAAAATTAGAATATCGTGCAAAAGTTCATTTATTTCAGTAATGTAACTTAAAAGGTGAAACTAATATATGAGATAGACTCATTACATTCAAAGCAAGATAGTTCAAGCCGTGATTTGTCATAATTGTGATGATTATGGCTTACAGCTCATGAAAACCCCAAATCCACAATCTCAGAAAATTAGAATATTACATGCAATCAATAAAACAAGGATTGTACATAGAACAATATCAGACCTCTGAAAAGTATAAGCATGCATATGTAATCAGTACTTGGTTTGGGCCCCTTTTGCAGCAATTACTGCCTCAATGCGGCGTGGCATGGAAGCTATCAGCCTGTGGCACTGCTGAGGTGTTATGGAAGACCAGGATGCTTCAATAGCAGCCTTCAGCTCTTCTGCATTGTTCGGTCTCATGTCTCTCAGCTTTCTCTTGGCAATGACCCATAGATTCTCTATGGGGTTCAGGTCAGGCGAGTTTTCTGGCCAATCAAGCACAGTAATCCCACGGTCATTGAACCAGGTTTTGGTGCTTTTGGCAGTGTGGGCAGTTGCCAAGTCCTGCTGGAAAATGAAGTTAGTATCCCCATAAAGCTGATCTACGGAAGGAAGCATGATGTGCTCCAAAATCTCCTGGTAGACGGCTGCGTTGACCCTGGACTTAATGAAGCACAGTAGACCGACACCAGCAGATGACATGGTTCCCCAAATCAACACAGACTGTGGAAACTTCACGCTGGACTTCAAGCATCTTGCAGTGTGTGCCTCTCCATTCTTCCTCTATACTCTGGGTCCTTGGTTTCCAAATGTGATGCAAAAGTTGTTCTCATCAGAAAATAGGACTTTGGACCACTGAGCAATAGACCAGGTCTGTTTTTCTTTAGCCCAGGTAAGACGCTTCTGACGTTGTTTATTGTTCAGGAGCGGCTTGACAAGAGGAATACGACATTTGAAGCCCATGTCCAGGATCCGTCTGTGTGTGGTGGCTCTTGATGCACTGACTCCAGCCTCAGTTCACTCCTTGTGAAAGTCCCCAACCAGGGGCGGACTGACCATTTGGAAACTTGGGCATTGCCCGAGGGCCCGGGGTCAGTAGGGGGCCCCATAAGATGCGCCTGCTACCTTTTTCATAAGCTTTTTTTAGTTTGGACAAGGACACAGGGGCCCCATGTTCCCCTATTGCCCGGGGGCCCCATGAGTTGTCAGTCCGCCCCTGTCCCCAACACTTTTGAATGGCCTTTTCCTGACAATCCTCTCCAGGCTGCGGTCTTCCCTGCTGCTTGTGCACCTTTTTCTTCCACACTTTTCTCTTCCACATAACTTCTATTAATGTGCTTTGATACAGCACTTTGGGAACATCCAACTTCTTTTGCAATTACCTTTTTGAGGCTTTCCCTCCTTATGGAGGGTGTCAATGATGGTTTTCTGCACAACTGTCAGGTCAGCAGTCTTTCCCATGATTGTGATTCCTACTGAACCAGACTGAGAGACCATTTAAAGGCTCAGGGACCTTTTGCAGGTGTTATGGCATGATTAGCTGATTAGAGTGGGACACTTTGAGCCTAGAAATATTGCACCTTTTCATAATATTCTAATTTTCTGAGATTGTGCATTTGGGTTTTCATGAGCTGTAAGCCATAATCATCACAATTATGACAAATCACGGCTTGAACTATCTTGCTTTGCATGTAATGAGTCTATCTCATATATTAGTTTCACCTTTTAAGTTGCATTACTGAAATAAATTAACTTTTGCACGATATTCAAATTTTTCTAGTTTCACCTGTATATGAGGTATTGCTGCGAGTCCAAGTGAAAGCAACAAACCTAGGGCCATAATTCAAGGTGAACTAAACAAGAAAAGACTGAGTTCTATGCTTAACAAAACATACCAAATCTTCACAGCTGCACTCAGAAGCACAAAAACATAACTGCACAATATATGAATCCCAGTACAGTTGCGCTGTGTAACAGAATAAAATGAAGGGATTCAAGTGAGTTAAATAATGTTCATAGATATTCACAATAAATAATGTCCATCACAAGTGCACAGTCTATATGCCTTAAAGTAGTACTATAGGCATTTTTTTTTTCATTTTGGATAGAGAAAGGGAGGTTTATAACCCCTGTCAGTTTTATTTGTAGATTTTTTTGCCTTCCATGTCCCCACTGGAAGATGTCCCCTCAAATACTTTTCTGGGGACAACACAAAATTTGGAAAGTTCATTTAGTTTCACTTTCAATAATAATGGTAAATAGGACACATAGAGAGGGTGGTGGATCTAACTGGGGCACAGACAACAACAAAAGCCTGACAGATGTTCTAATCCATTTCCTCTCTATCCAAAACTAAAAAAAGTTTTCCTTTAGTAAATCAACCGCAATGATTTCCATATTTAGGTTTCTATGCATAACTGTTGAGAGAACTGATCCAAAAAAGCAGAAACTTCTCAAAATTGCCAATTATATTTTTACATTTCTAAAATACTGCATGTCTGGACCATTACTTAATTACCACATGTATTTAATTATTTCTATCTTTCTGTGAATTGACTTTAGCGCCTTTGTATGCAGTATTTACTGAGAGTTTTGAGTGTTTTGTGGTAAATACTGCAAAACGATATAGTGAATTGACAGTTTAAGGATCGCATGCGATATTTAGGGAAAATGTTTCCGGACACCTATATACTGCATACGAGTTCTTTTTGTGAATGGAGCCCAGTATGTTTTAAACTTGATCTCCTTTTTTTCTGTTACAGATAGACCATTGGCTCCTTCCCTTTCTTTAATTCCCAAACATCCAGTTTACACCAGAGAAGAATCTATCAAACTCACTTGCTCTACACCCCTTGGCTCCACAGCTAATGGTATTGACTTTTACAAAGATAAGCAAAAAATTGCATCGCAGCAACACGGCACAATGAATATATCTACAGCTGACATTACTGATTCTGCTGCATACTCATGTCAGTACACTGAAAACAATCTTGGAAGAAATATTCTTTCCATTCCTAGTGATGAAGTCCCAATCAAAACAGTAGGTAAGAAACCCTATGTAATAGCGTATTAAAGAAATATAACTTAGGGCTTAGTGCTAAGGTTCAGTTTATGGAGAAAGTATAAAAGTTTTTAAATGAATCCTACACAACCCTCCCTCCAGCCATCTGTAACTCATTGCCAGCATTAAGAAATAATAAAATACTTCAAGGCTTATGTTACTCACATAACTCCATGTTCACGTGACTTTCTGGTCATGAGTCTTCTGTCATCTTCTATGTACAGGAGACAGGGTCCATCTGGTGTCCATGTCACTGACTGTGTGCCATGGACACCTGCTTTTGACTGTTCAGTGGCAGGATAGTCTCAGGATCCTGAAGAGCAATCTCAGGGGTGATGTGAGCAACAAGGTACTATTGAGGAACGGTCAGTGTGGACTACATTGCTGGATTACCGGTTCCCACATTCAGAATAGCACTGCCAAGGGACTGAGAGGGCTTATTTAGGTGAGTAAAATGTTGCCCTACAAGGTAGATAAACAGAAAAAAACATAAATAAGTGAGAGGAAGGGTGGAAGAGGGGTTTAATTTTTGCCTGAAGATTGGATTAAATTGTTAGCGTCTCTGCAATAAAGTTAAATGAAAAAAAGTGTTTAAAAAGATTAAACTAATAAAATTATTTAAAATTACTTGAATAATTGTAAAATCACCCGTGAATGCAAAGGACCACGTATGGTGCTCATGTGTATTGTATAGTAAGGTCATTTTGCCATATATATGAGGTATTGCTGCGAGTCCAAGTGAGAGCAATAAACCTAGGGCCATAATTCAAGGTTAAAGTGTTACTAAACCCAGGACCCTGCATTCACTATATCTGGTCTCCCACAGTACACACAACATGGAAATGAAATTATTTTAGTAAATATAAACTGCTAAATACCTGTGAGGGACCGCCGAGCGGCACCACTAGCACTCCACCGGTCAGGCGTGCCCAGAGCGCGGAATCTAAGCCCCAGGGTACTTGTTCACCAGGGCCCCTGATGGTGGGGATGGACTTGTAGTACCCCGAGACCAGGTCGCCCTCTACTGAGCACACCTGTCAGTGGTAGGGGTGTCCGCCAGGGGTTCCAACCAGGGAGAGCCAAATGTGAGGAGGTCGGGTGACCCCGATGGGATGGATGGATGGATGGCTGAGCAAGTGCGTAGTCAGACAGGCCGAGTCGGTAATGTAGAGGACGGTAAGGTACAAGGGAGCAGGCAGAGAATCGTCGGGTCACCACGCCAGGTCAGCAACAGGAGGTCAGATCTAATGAGGGGCATCCAGGGAGAGAGGTCAGGCAAGCAAGGGTCTGGGCAGGAGAAATCAGCAAGGTCAATAGCAATCCGGGTCAATAACTTACTAGGCACAGGTACAGGAACGCAGGAAGCAGGTAAGACCAGAAGGCAACGAAATGACAGCTCAGGGACATTTAAATATCCCGCCCTGCGCTGCCATTGGTGCCCAGCGGGCGCGGCCGCGGCTTCTACTGCGCATCCAGCGCGAACTCGAACGCCGCGGCCGGCCCGGAACTAGTGCCCGTGTACTGGGAGGAGCAGTGCGCCTGCGCCGGGACCATCGAGGCACGGAACGAGGGGATCCCTGACAATACCTTTTCTCATCAGCATTAGAGCAGTCTTGTGACTTCAGCAGAGCACTGGTTAAAGCTTGTAAGAGGAGTTTTCTTTCTGCTCTAGGTTGATGTGAAACCCCTGACCCTCTGTCTGGACAGGGCTGATTGGCCCTGTGCTGATCGCACGCACCCTCCCAAGAAACAAAAAAACCTCTCTAGCAATACACACCAAACTAAGCATGTGCATATGACCACGGGATCAGTCTGTATCAGGTGGTCATTTCAACAAGAAGAGTAGCAGAGAAGTCAGGATCAAACAGCCTTTTTACACAATGCAGAGGATTAACCCCTTAGGTTCAACAGTGAGTATAACAAGCATGCTTTACTGCATATACAGACTGATTTTACTGTTGTGGATTTAGTAACACTTTAACTAAACAAGAAAAGACTGCGTTCAGTGCTTAACAAAAAATACCAAATCTTCACAGCTGCACTCAGAAACACAAAAACATAACTGCACAATATATGAATCCCAATACAGTTGCGCTGTGTAACAGAATTCAGTGAGTTAAGTAATGTCCATAGATATTCACAATAAATAATGTCCATCACAAGTGTACAGTCTATATGCCTTTTTCATTTTGGATAGAGAAAGGGAGGTTTATAACCCCTGACAGTTTATTTGTAGATTTTTTTGCCTTCTGTGTCCCCATTGGAAGATGTCCCCTTAAATACTTTTCTGGGGACAATACAAAATTTGTAATTGTCTTTTAGTTTCACTTTCAATAATAATTGTAAACGGGACAAATAGAGAGGGTGGATCTAATTGGGGCAGAGACAACAATAAAAGCCTGATAGTTTCCTCTCTTGTGAATGGAGCCCAGTATGTTTTAAACTTGATCTCCTTTTTTTTCTGTTACAGATAGACTATTGGCTCCTTCCCTTTCTTTAAATCCCAGACATCCAGTTTACACCAGAGAAGAATCTATCAAACTCACTTGCTCTACATCCGTTGGCTCCACAGCTAATGGTATTGACTTTTACAAAAATAAGCAAAAAATTGCATCGCAGCAACGTGGCACAATGAAGATATCTACAGCTGACATTACTGATTCTGCTGCATACTCATGTCAGTACACTGAAAACATTCTTGGAAGAAATATTCTTTCCATTCCTAGTGATGAAGTCCCAATCAAAACAGTAGGTAAGAAACCCTATGTAATAGCGTATTAAAGAAATATAACTTAGGGCTTAGTGCTAAGGTTCAGTTTATAGGGAAAGTATAAAAGTTTTTAAATGAATCCTACACAACCCTCCCTCCAGCCATCTGTAACTCATTGCCAGCATTAAGAAATAATAAAATAATTCAAGGTTTATGTTACTCACATAACTCCATGTTCACGTGACTTTCTGGTCATGAGTCTTCTCATATCTTCTATGTACAGGAGACAGGGTCCATCTGGTGTCCATGTCACTGACTGTGTGCCATGGACACCTGCTATTGACTGTTCAGTGGCAGGATAGTCTCAGGATCCTGAAGAGCAATCTCAGGGGTGATGTGAGCAACAAGAGACTATTGAGGAACGGCCAGTGTGGACTACATTGCTGGATTACTGGTTCCCACATCCAGAAATCAGTACTGCTGAGTGGCTGAGAGGGCTGATTTAGGTGAGCAATGTGTTTAAAAAGATTAAACTGTAATAAAATTATTTAAAATGACTTGGAAAATTGTAATAGCACCCGTGAATGAAAAGGACCACGTATGGTGCTCATGTATATGTACAGTGGATTTAAAAAAATCTACACACCCCTGTTAAAGTGTCAGGTGTGATTTAAAAAAATGAGACAAAGATAAATAATTTCAGAACTTTTTCTACCTTTCATGTGGCCTATAAACTGTACAAGTTGAACACCACATTGAAATCTTTTAGATAGGAAAATTGGATGGGAGCTGGAGAGACATTTAATCTCACCTGTTCCATTTATCTAGTGTTTCCATGTTGTGCATTTCTATACTTTCATATGGTATGGTGCCTTGAAAAGCCCCATTAGTTTTTCCACTGTTAGGGTCTTTGGTTTTTTTTTTAAATCTTTTAGGTGCAGGGAAGTAAAAATAAAAAGCTAAAATAATACGATTGCATAAGTGTGCACACTCTTAAACTAATACTTTGTTGAAGCACCTTTTGATTTTATTCCAGCACTCAGTCTTTTTGGATATGAGTCTATCACCATGGCACATCTTGACTTGGCAATATTTGCCCACTCTTCCTTGCAAAAACACTCCAAATCTGTCAGATTGCGAGGACATCTCTTGTGCACAGCCCTCTCCAGATCATCCCACAGATTTTCAATTGGATTCAAGTCTGGGCTCTGCCTGGGCTATTCCAAAAGTTTAATCTTCTTCTAGTGAAACCATTCCTTTGTTTATTTGAATATATGTTTTGGGTCGTTGTCATGCTGAAAGATGAAGTTCCTCTTCATGTTCAGCTTTCTAGCAGAAGCTGGAAGGTTTTGTGCCAATATTGGCTGGTATTTAGAACTGTTCATAACTCCCTCTACCTTGACTAGGGCTCCAGTTCCAGCTGAAGAAAAACAGCCCCAAAGCATGATGCTGCCACCACCATGCTTCACTGTGGGTATGGTGTTCTTTTGGTGATATGCAGTGTTGTTTTGCACCAAACATATCTTTTGAAATTATGGCCAAAAAGTTCAACCTTGGTTTCATCAAACCAGAACACATTTTCCCACATGCTTTTGGGAGACTTCAGGTGTGTTTTTGCAAAATTTAGCTGGGCTTGGGTGTTTTTCTTTGTAAGAAAAGGCTTCCGTCTTGCCACTCTACCCCATAGCCCAGAGATATGAAGAATACAGGAGATTGTTGTCACATGTATCACACAGCCAGTACTTGCCAGATATTCCTACAGCTCCTTTAATGTTGCTGTAGGCCTCTTGGCAGCCTCCCAGACCAGTTTTCCTCTTGTCTTTTCATCAATTTTGGAGGGACGTCCAGTTCTTGGTAATGTCACTGTTGCGCCTTATTTTCTCCACTTGATGATGACTGTCTTCACTATGTTCCATGGTATATTTAATGCCTTGTAAATTCTTTGGTACCCTTCTCCTGAATGATACCTTTTAACAATGAGATGCCTCTGATGCTTTGGTAGCTCTCTGTGGACCATGGCTTTTGCTGTAGGGTGACTAAGAAAATGTCAGGAAAGACAGGAACTAGTAAGAGAGATTGGTCATGGTGAGCCAGCACAGCCAGCTATTCCGATCACCCTGTTCAAAAAATCGTTGTTTAGTTTAATACTTTTTCAGCCTAGCGATCTCGGTAAGATGGAGATGTAGTTCCCTTTGCGAGTGTAAAAACAAGTCAAAATTACTACTAGTTGGACAAATATTGAGGGGGGATCTAACTGGGGCACAAACAACAATAAAAGCCTGCAAGGAAGGTGTTCTAATCCATTTCCTCCAAAACTATAAAAAAGTTTTCCTTAAGTAAATCAACCCCAGTGATTTCCATATTTAGGTTTCTATGCATTACTGTTGGGAGAACTGATCCAAAAAGGCAGAAACTTCTTAAACTTGCAAATTATATTTTTTACATTTCTAAAATAGCGCATGCCTGGACCATTACTTAATTACCACATGTATTTAATTATTTCTTTCCTTCCGTTAATAGACTTTAACGCCTTTGCATGCAGTATTGTGAGCGTTTTTTGGTAAATACTGCAAAACGATATAGTGAAGTAATTGACAGTTTCAGGAATGCATGCAATATTTAGGGAAAATGTTTCTGGACACCTAAATGCCGCATACGAGTTCCTTTTGTGAATGGAGCCCAGTATGTTTTAAACTTGATCTCCTTTTTTTCTGTTACAGATAGACCATTGGCTCCTTCACTTTCTTTAATTCCTAGACATCCAGTTTACACCAGAGAAGAATCTATCAAACTCACTTGCTCTACACCCGTTGGCTCCACAGCTAATGGTATTGACTTTTACAAAAATAAGCAAAAAATTGCATCGCAGCAACGTGGCACAATGAATATATCTACAGCTGACATTACTGATTCTGCTGCATACTCATGTCAGTACACTAAAAACATTCTTGAAAGAAATATCCATTCCATTCTTAGTGATGAAGTCACAATCAATACAGTAGGTAAGAGAAAAACCTATTTAATAGCATATAACTTAGGGCTTAGTGCTAAGGTTCAGTTTATGGGGAAAATATAAAAGTTTTTAAATGAATCCTACACAACCCTCCCTCCAGCCATCTGTAACTCATTGCCAGCATTAAGAAATAATAAAATATTTAACTGCTCATTTTACTCACATAACTCCATGTTCACGCAACTTTATGGCCACGAGTCTTCTCTCATCTTCTATGTACAGGAGACAGGGTCCATCTGGTGTCCATGTCACTGACTGTGTGCCATGGACACCTGCTATTGACTGTTTAGTGACAGGATAGTCTCAGGATCCTGAAGAGCAATCTCAGGGGTGATGCGAGCAACAAGGGACTACTGAGGAATGGCCAATGTGGACTACATTGCTGAATTACTGGTTCCCACATCCAGAAATAGTACTGCTGAGGGACTTAGAGGGCTGATTTAGGTGAGCAAAGTGTTTAAAAAGATTAAACTGTAATAACATTATTTAAAATGACTTGGAAAATTGTAATAGCACCCGTGAATGCAAAGGACCATGTATGGTGCTCATGTGTATGTATACTAAGGTCATTTTGTTATATATATATGAGGTATCGCCGCAAGTCCAAGTGAGAGCAATAAACCTAGGACCATAATTCAAGGTTAACTAAAAAAGAAAAGACTGTGTTTGGCGCTTAACAAAAAATACCAAATCTTCACAGATGCACTCAGAAGCACAAAAAAAACAAATGTACAATATATGAATCCCAGTACAGTTTGCGCTGTGTAAAAGAATAAAATGAAGTGATTCAAGTTAGACCCAGCAATGTGTACCAGTGAAACTCACCACTTCAAACACACACAGCCTCTTACCAAATTGTCAAACCTCAAATTATAGGAGGTCTAACTTAGTGTGAAGCTGCATGAGTCTTGCACCATGGCTAACCCAGGAACACAAGCAGCACTTATGATAGAAACTTCACTGGGATCTCCCTCTCCTGCTGTATGGTTAAGCTTGGCAAGAAAAGATAAGCCTCCAATGGTGTAGTACTATCAAATATTTATTAAATATTGGCCAGAAAAACTATTTACAAGCATCTTCAAACAAATGCATGAAACAATACCCT